CAGCGAGCTGGCGACACGGTGGTGGGCCGTCCCCTGAGAGCCTGGCGTTCCATTTTTTGAGCGGGGCATCGTCGCGTCATTTCGGGCCCCCAGGCCCTCACATATCGAGTTGGCCCGAGGCGTGGCGCAGACCGATGTGGTCTGGGCCTCCCGGGGGGTCGGGGCTCAAGAGACGGGGGTCAAGGCAACCGCCGGATCTGGCAGGATCCTGCATAGGAGCCAGCGCGCTCGTGGCACATTTCTCACTAAAAAGGGGCGGCCCTGCTTGAAGCCCCCCCCCCCTTCCCTAGGAAACGTGTCTTTCGAAGCTCCCCTCCCCCTCCTTTCAGTCTGTGGGCATTTCGGAGTTAGGGAGGGAGGGCCCTAGCGACAGGGAGTGGTGCTTCCAAGCTCCCCCCCCTCGTTTTGTTCTGGAGCCCGAGGTCAGCCCGGGTTCCCTTTTCACAGGGGGGGTTTTCCGAAGCTCCTCCCCCCCTCTCCTTCTTGGATTTTGTAGCTTGGTGGCCCCTGGGTAAAGGGGGGGCGGCTTGGAAGAGACCCCCTCCTCCTTTTCGGGGCCCGGGGTAAGCCTGGTCTGCCCTTTCCAAAGGGAGAAGATTTCCGAAGCTACCCCCCTCCCCTTCTTTTGTTGGCGTTTCCAGCTGAAGGCTCTGGCTGAAGGGGGGGGTTCAAAGCTACTTTTCTTATTTGGTTTTCGGCGCCCCGTTGCGTTTCCGCGTAGTTGTTGTTTTCGGCGTCCTTTTTGTCTTGTGGTGCCCGTATGGTTTTCGCCGCTCCTTTGGTTTTCGGCGCTCCTGTGGTTTTCGGCGGTCTTTTTGTTTTCGGCGCCCGTTTGGGTTTTCTGCGCACCCTTCGGTTTTCGGCGCATCCTTAGTTTTCGGCGCCCACTTGGGTTCCAGCGCTTTTTAGGTTTTCGGCGCCCTCTTGGTTTTTGGACCCTTTTGGTTTTCGGCGCATTTTTATGTTTTCGGCATTCTGAAGATTTTCGTGAGTCTTTGGTTTCGGCGCCCCTTTGTTTGTGTTCGGCGCCCTTCGTCTTTCGGCGCGCCTTGGGTTTTTCGGCACCTTTTTGGTTTTCGGCGCTCCTTTGATTCTCGGCGCCTCTTTGGGTTTCCGGCCCTCTTTTGGTTTTCGGCGCCCCTTTCGTTTTCAGTGCACCTTTTGGTTTTCTGCGCACCCTGTTGCTGTCGGTGCATCCTTGGTTTTCGGAGTAGTTGTGGTTTTCGGCGCCCCTTCGGTTTTCGGCGCCCTCTTGGTTTTCCGCGCCCTGTTTGTTTTCGGCGCCCTTTTTTGTTTTCGGCGTTCTGTAGGTTTTCGGCGCTCTTTGGTTTCGGCGCCCCTTTGGTGTTCGGTGCCCTTCGTCTTTCGGCGCGCCTTTGGATTTTCGGTGTCCCTTTTGTTTTCGGCGCTCCTTTGGTTTTCGTCGCCCGTTTAGGTTTCGGCGTCTCTTTGGTTTTCAGCGCTTTTTAGGTTTTCGGCGTAGTTGTGGTTTCCGGCACCCCTTTCTTAGGTTTTGGGCGCCCCTTTGGCCTTTGGCGCCCCTTTGGTTTTCGCACCCTGTTGGTTTTCGGCGCCTTTTTTTGTTTTCGGCATTTTTTCGCTTTTCGGCGTTCTTTGGTTTCGGCGCCCCTTTTCTTGTGTTCGGCGCCCTTCGTCTTTCGGCGCGCCGTGGGTTTTTCGGCGCCATTTTAATGTTCTGCGCACCGTTTGGTTTTCGGCGCCTCTTTGGCTTTCGGCGCACTCTTGAGTTCCGGCGCCCCTTTGGTTTTCGGTGCCTTCTTGGTTTTCGGCGCCCCTTTCGTTTCCCACGACCCGTTAGTTTTCGGCGTTGTGTTGGTTTTCGGCGCTCTTTGGTTTCGGCGCCCCTTGGGTTTTCGGCGCCCTTCGTCTTTCGGCGCGTTCTGGGTTGTTGACGCCCTTTGGTTTCGACGCACTTTTGGTTATCGACGCTCCTTTTCGACGCCCTTTTGATTTTCGGCGCTCCTTTTGTTTTCGGCCTTCCTTTGGTTTTCGGCGCTTTTGTGGCATTCGGTGTCTCTTTGTTTTTCGGCATCCCTGCAGTTTTCTGCGCCGCTTTGGTTTTCGGATACTTTTTCGTTTTCGGCGCCCTGTGCGTCTTCGGAGATTATGTTGTTTACGGCACCCTTTTCGTTTTCGGCGCCTTCTTGGTCATCGGTGCCCTTTAACTTGTTCGGCGCCTTTGTGTTTTTGGGCGCGTCGCTGATTTTAGGCGTTGATTTGGTGTTCGGCGCCCCTTGGGTTTTTCGGTGGCCCGTGGGTGTTCGGCGCCACTTTGGTTTTCGTTGTCCTCTTGGTTTTCAGCGCCCCATTGGTGTTCGGTGTCCTTTTAGTGTTCGACGCCTTGTTTGTTCCCGGCGCATATTTTGTTTTCGGTGTTTTTTGGTGCTCGGCGCTTTTTTGGTGTTCGTCCTCCTTTTGGTTTTTTGCGGCCCCTTGGTTTTCGGCGAACCTTCTGTTTTCGGCGCCCTTTCTGTTTTCGACGCTCATTTGGTACTCGGTTCCCTTGTGATTCTCAGCGCTCCTTTGGTTGTCGGCGCTCCTTTGCTTTTCGTCGCCGTTTTTGTGTTCGGTGCCCTTTAAGTTTTCGGCGCCCGTTTGGTTTTCGGCTCGTTTTGGTTTTCGGTGCCATTTTGGTGTTTGGCGACCCTTTGGTTGTCGGCGCCCTCTTGGTTTTCGGTGCCCCTTTGCTTTTCGGCGTCCTGCTCAAGTTCGACGACCCTTTGGTTTTCGGTGCCCTTTTTGGTTTCGGCGCTCTTTGGTTTTCAGCGCCCTTTCGGTTTTCGGCGCTTCTCTGGCTTTTCAATGTTTTTTTTGGTTTTCGGCGCACCTTTAGTTTTCGCGCCCCGCTTGTTTTCGGAGCCTTCTTTTGTCGGCGCCTCTTTGGTTTTGTGGCTTTGGGCATTCTTAAAGGTTTTCGGCGCTCCTGTGGTTTTCGGCGCTCCTGTGGTTTTCGGCGCTCCTGTGGTTTTCGGCGCTCCTTTTGGTTTTCTGCGCACACTTTTGGTTTTCGGCGCATCCTTGGTTTTCGGCGCCCTTTTTGGTTCCAGCGCTCTTTTGGTTTTCGGCGCCCTCTTAGTTATCGGCGCCTTTTTGGTTTTCGGCCCACATTGGGTTTTAGGCGCCCTCTCGGCTTTCGGCGTTCCTTCGCTTTTCGGCGCGCCTCTGGTTTTCGGACCCTTTCGGTTGTTTAGTCGCCGCTCCTTTGGTTTTGGGCGCCCTTTGGTTTTCGGCGCTCCTTTGCTCTTCGGCGCTCCTCCCTTGAGCCAAGGGGTGGGGGCTTGAAGCCCCCCCCCCCTTTGAGCCAAAACGGGAAGGAGGCGGGGGGGGATTCGGCAGGGGAGGTTCAAAGGGGGGGGGGGGGGCAGCCCGCCCCCCCTCCCCCATTTTTGGAAAGGGCGGGGGGGGGGGGGGGGTACCTTCCGGAACGCGAACGGGAGAAGGGGGGAGGAGCTTCCGAGGGGCAGGAAAAACCGAAACAGGAGGTGCTGGGGGGGGGGCTTCCGACGTGGGCGGTCTGAAGGGGGAGCGGGGTAGCTGAGCCCCGCCTTTTTGTTTGGCAAAGGGAGGGGGAGGTAGCCTTCCGGAACGCGGGGAGGGGGGGGGGGGGGAGCTGCCGGGGGGCGGGATCCATGGAGGGGGGGGGGGGGGGCGTTCAGCAGGGGAGGTCCAAGGTTATGGGGGGAGGCAGCCAAGCCAATGGGGGGCCCCCCCCCCCGCTTTGGGAGTGTGCCACGGGCGCGCTCCCGCCTGCCTGAGCCAAGCCAGGGGGTGTCTTGACCCGGGCTGGCGTGCAGGACCCTGCAGGATCCTGCAGGACCCTGCAGGATCCTGCAGGATCCCGCCTGCCTGAGCCCAGGGGTGTATTGACCCGGGCTGGCGTGCATGACCCTGCAGGATCCTGCAGGATCCTGCAAGGCCCGATGGAACCGGGTCTGGAGTTCAGTCGGGCCTGTCCCTCTGCAGGGGGAATGTTCAAAAATAATCCAAAAATAGTCTGTGGACCATTTTTAAAATATATGGGCTATTTCGGAGCATTTTGGGGTACCTTTCATTTTTCGTCGAAAATCCCCCTGTAGGGGGACACGCCCGACTTAAGTCTGGATCGACCTGGGTCAGTTGATCCCCGAGGGGAGGGGCGAGCTGAGAACTCGCGGTGGTGGGCCGTGGGGTGGAGGGCCCTCGTCGCCCCAGACCCCTTCGCTCCGCGAAGCAGTCCAGAGGGGAGGCTTTTTTCTGGTGTCTTCGGCCTCTGGGGCCCCTGACCGTGCCTCGCGACCGTCAGGGAACGACTCGGGATGCAAAGCCGGTCCAGGGGAGGGGCTCGACGTGGTGAACAGAAGCCACGACGTCGAGGATCTGGGGCCGCAGCTGGGCGGCGAAGCTGCGCAGGGCCCCGGGAGGGGATCTGGGGACCGATTCTGAGGTGCCGCTGTCTCAGTTCGCCCTGCTCCGATCGGGTTGACCCAAAAGGGGGGTCCAGCGACAAGGGTGTGGTGTACTAGATTTGGTGCAATAGGTTTGTGGGGATGCAACACATTTGGGCCGTGCGATACGGGGCGCAAATGTATTGCTAGATCTTCGCGTGCAAGACATGGCCTGCAATACGATGCAGTACGATTATCTGGTGCAGTAAGATTTGCAAGACAATTGCCCCGAATCTATTGCACAACCCCCTTTCAGCCGGACCCCCTTCTCTCGGTATCGCTCGGACGTGTGCACTTTTCTTCTCGGCGGGGATTCTCAAGGCGCATCCTGGGTCATCCTGCGAAAACGAAAACCACGCACGAAACCGAACAACTCACAGGGGATGGACGTCCGAGCGACGGCCAGTTTTGGGGCACCCAGCTCCGCAGGACGAAGAGGACGACGGAGAGGGCGAGCCCTCGGCGCTCCTGGGCCGGCGGGCCGAGCAGGAAGCCGAGGAGAACTACGAGGACGGCGAGGATGCGGAGGACACCAGGAGGAGGAGTGGGAGGGGCAGGAGGAGGAGGAGGAGGAGGACGACGAGGAGGAGGCGGAGCAGGAGGAGGAGGAGGAGGAGGAGGAGGAGGAGGAGGAGGAGGAGGAGGAGGAGGGGATGGGGCGGAGGAGGCGGAGGAGGTGGAGGAGGCGGAGGAGGATGAGGAGGAGGGGTAGGAGGAAGAGGAGGAGCTAGATACAACCGCGCCAGTCCCAGCCAGGCCCCGCCGGGGCCCAGTATCGGTGTACGTCGCGCCTTCCTTCCAGGTCGGTCAGGGGGGAAAAACACGCAGACACATTGAATCGTCGACTCCCCGGAAAATATGGGAAAATATAGAACGCGGGGGGGAAGACAAAATCCCAGAAAGTATGGAAGTATATAGGGAATCCTGTGATTTGTGTATATTCTGTGTGCTCCAGGGCCCCTTCAGTCGTGCATTCCTTCCAGTTCGGGCCTGGCAGGGCGTGCGCACCGATCCTGGGCCCAGGATGGGCCTGGCCAGGACCGGCGTCCTCCTCCTCCTCCGCCTCCTCCTCCTCCGCCTCGTCCTCGTCCTCCTCCGCCTCCTCCTCCTCCGCCTCCTCCTCGTCCTCCCCCTCCTCCTCCCCCTCCTCCTCCTCCTCCGCCTCCTCCGCCTCCTCCTCCTCCTCTTCCTCCTCTTCCACTTCCTCCTCCACTTCCTCCGCCTCCTCTTCGTCCTCTCCGTCCTCCTCCTCCACCTCCTCCTCCTCTTCCCTCTCCTCCTCCACCACTGGTGTGCAGCTGGTGCCCCTCTTGCAGGAGGAGGCCCCTCGGCCGGAGCTGCCCGAGGAGCCGACGCCCGAGGCCCCGGAGGAGCCGGCTGCCGAGGAGGAGGAGGAGGATCAAGCAGTGGCGAAGCGTCCCGGCTCGCCCATACTCCTACCAAACACCAAACAGTGTTCTAAGAACCTCTTGTGGTTCCCACGAAGTGTTTTTAGAACATTTCTGGCGGAGTCTGCCTTGTTTTATCACATCGGGTGTATGTTCTAAGAACATTGTTTTTGCTCTTAGAGCTTTTTTGGGTTCTAAGAACCGTTCGTGGTAGGAATATGGGAATGCCGGGACGGTCGGTCCCTGCTCAGGAGGAGGAGGCCGCGCGGCTGGCTTCGGCCGAGGAGGCGGCTGCGCTGGAGGTGCCCGCCGGGGCCACGCCGGAGCAGGCCGCGGGGGCGGCGGCGGGCGCGGACGGCCAGGGCATAGCAAGCGCGGGGGGGCACGCCACGAAGCAGGCGGGCCCGGAGGGGACCGAGCCCCTGGAGTTTTTTTTTTGTTCGTGTGCGCTCGGCCGCGGCCTGCGCGGTGGGCAATGGACACACTCGCGCGGTGGGCCACTCGACCAGCCAGCGTTCGCGCGGAAGGCCGATGGAGACCGCCGAAGAGGCCGCCGGCGATCGCCGAAGGCCGCTGGAGACCGCCATGGATCCGAAGACCTGAAGAAGACTGTAAGAAGACCCGCGAAGGCCGCCCGAGGCCGACGGGCAACGAGGGGTCCTTCGGGCCCCTGGGTTTGCCACCACTTCCACGGAGAAGAACAGTGGGCACGAGCATACGCTGTCCGAGGTCCGCGTGGATGCCTCGGGGCGGCGCCGGGCCGCCCCGGTGGCGCCTCCTGGCGGCGGTCCAAGAGAGATTCGCGCGGACCTCCGAAAAATAAATAAATAAAAAAAAAAACAAAAAAAACAGCACTTGCAGTTAGGGTCGCTCGCTGCTCTTCGAAGGAGCTGGGCCTGGGGGCCAGTCCTGCGGCTCCTTGGTCCCCGTCGCCGCCTCGTCGCCACAGCAAGGGCTGCACCGCACAGATTCCACCACATGGACTGCACCGCACAGATCGCTCCGCACGGATTGTACATCACATCCTGCGCACCGCACATATTGCACCACACACACGCACACTGCACCACATTGGCTGTACCACACTGGTAGCAACACCCAGATTGAACGACATATATTGCATAACATAGATTGTACCACACATGTTGCACGGCATAGATTGCACCACACCGATTGTTCCACATGTCTGTATATATATATAGATGTAGCAGAACATAAGGTGCCACAAACAATGAGTGGGGTTCTTTCTCAATTTTCGGCCTGTGGCCCACGGCTGTTTACCTCGGGGCCCGCTTACTTCATTCCAAGTTGTCACCGCCGCCGTCGTCGTCGCCGTCGTCGGCGTCGTTGTCGTCGTCGTCTTCGTTTTCGCCGCCGTCTCCGCCGTCGCCGCCGTCGCCACCGTCGCCGTCGCTGCCGCCGCTGGTACAGTCTCTGCCGCCACCAACGTCGTCGTCGTCGTCGTCGTCGTTGTCGTCGTCGTCTGATTCTGGATTATGATATTTCCCGACAGCTGACGTGGCATTTTTGTTCAAGGCGCGGCCCCCGGAGGTCTGATGATGCCGTCCCTTTGGGGGCATTTCTTGGTCCCAGATCCTTATTCCTTATATTTGTTGGGCAGGGGCTTGATGACGGGCCCCAGAAAGACCCAAGATAGGCAACGATCATCTCGTCGGAGATCTGGGTTTCCAGCCCCGTCACCCGAAATTGGCAACAACAACCCCTGTCGCGAATTTGTCGCGACGCGTGGGGGGATCTGGGCCGCGCCGGCGAGGACGAGGAGGAAGCCAGCCCCGAAAAGCCGGGCGAGCTCATCGACCTGGACGTGGGCGAGGACGCCGACGAGGCGGAGACCATCGGCGCGGTGCGGGTGGGCGCCGAGGCGAGGCAGGCCGCGCGGGAGCGGGTCGCCCAGGACGGGGTCCGCTGCGACGCGAGCCGGTCGGGCCGGTCCGCTCCGCTGTCGAATTGCTGCCGATCCGAGGCGGCCCGACGTTTGCGAGGCATGGCCGTGCAGCCTGGCGCGGCCGACCCGGTGCGATTCCGGCTCCGTGCCGATGCAGCCCGATCCCGCGCACCTTTTGGCGGCTCGGTTTAAGTCGGGCTTGTCCCTCCACAGGAGGAGTACGCAAAGACGGTCAAAACGTAGTATGGGGACGATCTTTTTTTTGTTTTAAACAATTTGTGCCCCTTCGGGGGGCATTTTTTTGATATTTGCGTTCGCCCAAAATCCCCCTGTAGGGAGACGCGCCCGACGTAACGCTCGATCCCGACTGCCTGGGTCGATGCTGGCCGCCCCAGGAGGCGAAGGCCGCCCGCGAGGCTGAGGAGGAGGCCGTGCGCGAGGCCGAGGAGCGGAGCAGCGCGCTCGCGGCAGCTAAGCTTAAGTCGGGCGTGTCCCCCTACAGGGGGATTTGCGACGAAAAATGAAAAATACCTTAAAAATGTACCAAAAGGGCCACACAATATTCAAAACATAGTTCCCAGACTATTTTTGGGCTATTGTTGGATCGTTTGTAGTGTATTTGTTTTCATTTTTCGTCGAAAATCCACCTGTAGGGGGACAGGCCCGACTTAAAGCTAAGCTACCTGGGCCGGCAGCGTGTGGAAGACGGTGTGGAGAGGCGTTGTGTCGTCGTCGGCGTCGGGGGGGCCCTCTCCCCGAGATCCCTCAGGCTTCGGATGCAGCTCCTGGGAGGTCAAATTCTGCCTCTGCCCTGGTCCGAATCCCGGCTAAATCCGTCTTAATCCGGCTTAACCCCGCTTGATCCGGCTTAATCCTGCTTGATCCCGCTTTATCCGGCTTAATCCTGCTTAGTCCGAGGCCCGCTCCGGCGTAACAGCTCCCAAATTGGGCTTAATCCTCTCTAATCTTTCCGACGAAAGCCTCCCCGTAGTTGCCTCCTAATCAAGCATTGGCGAAGCGTTGCGGCGTGCCTATAGGCCTACCAAGCAATGTTCTAAGAACCGCTTGTGGTTTCCACGAGGTGTTCTTGGAACTTCTTTGCCTATGACTGTCTGGTTTTAAAGCATCGGGTGTATGTTCTAATGACATTTTTGTTGTTTTTGGAACCCTGGTGGGTTCTAAGAACATGTCGTGGTAGGCCCGTAGGAATGCCAGGACGGTTGGTCCCTGCTCAAATCCTGGCGTTGCAATTTTTCACAACGGGCGTTTTCGCTCCATTGCGGGCCCCAGGACCCTCACAGATCGATCCGGCTCGAGAAGTGACGCAGAAGGATGTGGCCCAGGGCTCTGGTCGTGATGTTCTGCGATGTTGCATGTTTTGCAACGTCGGATCTCAGGGCTCGCCATGGAGGCCCGTGGGCTGTCAGACGACGATCGGGGACGGGAAGCCGGTCCCCAGGATGTGGTGCAGAGCCCCAGGGAGCCCGCGCTGAAGACTTTTTTTTGGCTAGGCAGGGGTCGTTTACGCTGGCGGAAGGAGCTATAGCTCAACGGGGGCGGGGCACCGTGGTAGCGAGTTGGCCAGCAGGCGAGAGCGGGAAATGGGGGGGCAGGGGGGGGGCGGCCGCAGAGAGGGTCGGGTGAGGCGGGGCAAGAACGCGCGCTGAAGACACCGAGGCGGCGGAGTTTTGGGTAATCCGAGTTTCTTCATAAGCGTCGGGTCGGGGGGGGGGGGCGTCACCCCCGCCGACAGCCCCACATCAACCCCCGTCGCGGGCAGCCACCCCGCGCCGGAGGCACTCCGACCCTCGTCGCGGCGCGACGACGAGGCGAGGTTGACCTCCGTGGGGGTGGGGTGCCCCCCCTCGCTTGTCAAGAAGCCCAGAGTCAGTGCGTCAGTTTTCTTCTCGAGGGCCTTTGTCGGAGCCGCGCCTGGCCCCCCTGCCCCCGGGGCGCGGGCAGCGGGAGGAGGGGGCGCCCGCCCAGGGGAGGAGGCCAGCGCCGAACCGAGAAGCCCGCGCGGGCAGCTGACCGTCTGTGCCTCGAGGGGGGGGGATCGGCTACAGAATTGAGGTGCCCCAGAACTCGTTTTCCCCATCGCGCGGGCAGCTGACAGTCTGTGCCTCGAGTGGGGGATCGACTCTGTAAGGTGCCCCAGAATGCATGTTCCCCATCGAGGTCACGACGAAGGCGCAGACTGCTCGCAGATCTGCTGGGGCTTCCCCCAGTCTCTTTTCCGCAGCACCCGGCGGGGAGGTCCACCTTGGGGCGGATCTGCATTCTTCTGTGGGCGATGCCCTGCTCGACGCCTGTGCCTGCGCCGCTTCTGCTGCCCCCCCCTCCAGAAACCAGCATCCAAGATCCCGAGGCCAGACCCCCCCCCTTGCAGGGGATAGGCCCCCTCCCCAGCCCCCTGCTCGGCGCAAAGGGGGGGAGGGGCGGGGGGGTTCGAACCCCAGTTCGAACCCCAGGAGGAGGAGGAGGAGGAGGAGGAGGAGGAGGAGGAGGAGGACGAGGAGGAGGACGAGGAGGAGGAGGAGGGGGGTTTTCCAGCGCCTCTCTTCTCCAGGAGGCGAGCGCGCGCGGGGAGCACGCGGCGCCCCCGGAGGCTGCCGCGGCGGCGCCCGCGCCGGCGCCCGAGCCGCCCGCCCCGGTGGCCCCCGCGGCGGAGCCGGCGCCCGCGCGCCGGGCGCGGCGCGCGCGGGCGCCGAGGCCGCAGCGGGCAGCTCGCAGGCCATGGCCGCGTGCCGCGGCTGCTGCCCCTCACCCCTCCTCCTCATCTTCCTCCTCCTCCTCCTCCTCCTCCTCCTCCGCTCCTCCCCCCTCCTCCTCCCCCTCCTCCTCCTCCTCCCCCCCTCCAACTGGTGGTGGTGGTGGTGGTGGTGGTGGACAGGCAGGCCCATCGAATCCTCGGGCCCGGCGGCAGGCACCCCGTCGAGGCAAGCCCCGCCTCCCCCGCTCGGGCCCGGGGGGCGGAGAGTTACCAGCCTCGAACGTATCCCTTTCCCTAAGATTGACACGCCAAAAGGCGATGGCAATCTTAGGGGTTCGCCCTCAAAAAGTCAGGGGAATCCCTAGGATTGGCATCGTGATGAGGAGGTGCCCAGCATAGGGATAGGGATCTGTTCCAGGCTGGTAACCTCCAGGGCCAAGTCGGGCCCCGTCCCTCTACTGGGGGAACATTCAGAAGTAGTCCAACAATAGCCCTGGGGCTACGAGTTGGCCATTTTTGGGCGTATTTCGGGTCTCTTTTGGGGGTATTTCAAAATTTTCGTCCAAAATCGGCCTGTAGGGGGACAGGCCCGACTTAACTCCAGGGCTCGTTTCGATCCCCCCGATTCGGTTCGACCAGGTGTCGACGGCTTCCGATTCCGGCTCGATTCGGCTTTTGGGATTCCGACCTGGGTTCCGACCTCGCACTCGAGGCACACCAGCCTGCCGATTTCCTCCGCCGATTCGACGTTTCCCGGCTCGGCTGCCGATTTCCGCCGATCCGATTCATTTCGATCGCCGACCCGATTCATCGACTCGACTCTGGGCTCTTTTGCCCCTCCCTTCCAAGAGGGCGAGGACGAATCCGTTCCGGAGCGTGGCCGATTTGCTCTCGGGGCGCTCCGGGACACTCGGAGGAGGCCGGCGGCGCACGAGAGACCCTCCAGAGCCGCGGGGCCGATTTTGCGCTCGCCCTGGCTTCGTCTTACGGTGGGGGCCCATGCCAAGAGACATCTTGCTTGCCTCCAGGGTGCCCTGGGTTTCTTGGGGTTCGATGGTTTCGCGATGGAGAGCGTGACGTTCCCACACCAAACATCGGTGGACGTCCTGGGGTCTCAGGGTTGGGTTTCTCGTTGAAGTGTTCTGGTGGATTAGCCTCCACAGCGCCGGTTTTAATACGTGCTCAGCGTGCGGACCATGTATGCAAAGTACAGGGTTGATTAATAGATGCAAGGATGAGTTCATGCATTAATTCATTCATAAATTATTCATGTGTTTAAATACCTATATAGGAACTCCTATGTATTAAAACCTGCCCTCTACTGTACCCATACCGCTGCCCTTCCCTTTTGCCCTTTCCAGCCTCATGGGAGGCCCCCGTCGCCACGGCTGGCTCCGCCCCGAAGTCCTGGCCAGAGCGCTGAGGAGGAGGAGGAGGAGGAGAGGGAGGAGGAGGAGGAGGAGGAGGAGGAGGAGGAGGAAGAGGAGGAGGAGGAGGAGGAGGAGGAGCAGCAGGAGGAGTAGTTAGCGCATTTATCGGCACTTGCTGGTTTCCCCAAGGCTCCCGCGGAGGATCGGCCACGCCCAGAATGGGGGGTGGGCGGAGGGGGGGCAGGCTTCTTGGAAGCATCCCTGTCTCTTAGAGGGCGCGGCGCCAGGAGGCAGCGCCTTCTAAGAAACATCTAAGGCCGGCGCCTTCTAAGGAAGCAGCCCCCTTCCAAGGAAGCCCCCCCCCTTCCCCATAGCCCCCCTTCTGCGCGCCGCCAGGAGGAGCTGGCGCCCGCGGCGCCGGGCGCGGCGCCCGTGGCCTCCGACGACGCCGCAGCGGCCACCACCACGGCGGGGCCGGGCGCCGAGGCCGTGGCGCAGCTCGAAGGGGAGGGGGGGCGACAAAAGTTGCGTCGAGGCAGCGGTGAAGGAAAGGAAGGGGCCTTCAGGGAGCCTCCGCGTCGCCAGGAGGAGGACGAGGAGGCGGAGGAGGAGGAGGGAGGAGGAGGAGGAGGAGGAGAGAGACGACGAGGACGACGAACGACCGAGGACGACGAGACGACGAGGAGAGAGGGAAGAGAGGGGGAGGAGTAGGAGGGGAGGAGAGGAGGAGGAGGAGGAGGAGGAGGAGAGGAGGAGGAGGAGGAGGAGGAGGAGGCTTGGGAAACTGGTTCGTTTGGACCCTGGGAGGGGTCCCGGGGCCGAGTTCGAGCTGCCGCTGTCTCGACTCGCCCTTGCTCCTTGCTCTGGTCGGGACGACCGAAGTGGATAAGGGAAGAATCGGCACGGTGCCCAGCAGCAGCAGCCTTACGTTCGTTTCGCGCAGGGCCCGCTGTCCGCGCCGCCGCGGACACCGGCTCTCGGAAGACGAACAGCCGCCTGCCTGAGAGCGCCCGCCATCGGTTTTGAAACACGCTTGTTCCTGGGCACCGTTCCCACTTTTCCCACACCCTCAAGTCGGGCGTCCCTCGGCAGGAGGAATATTCAAAACTAGTCAAAATAGTCTGGGGAGCATTTTTGCACATTTTTGTTGACCATGTTGGAGCATTTTGTCTGATTTTTTTATGTTTCGTCGACAATCCCCCTGGAGGGGGACACGCCCGACCTGTCCGTACCCATCTCTCACCACCCACCAAACCACCCAAACCCAACCCGAAGGCCTAAATTTATCCTCGATTTCCAGTGGGGGGGGAACATTGAAAAAATCACATGGAACCCGTACCCCCCCAACCCGAAATTCGGGTCAAATTCGGGTCTTCGGGTTGGGTTGGGGTGGTCTGGTAGGTAGTCAATCTCGGGCGTCCAGAGCCGAGTGGCGCAGCAGGCGGCGCCGGCGAGGCGGCCGGCGTGGCTGGCCAAGGCCCTGGCGGCCGCCCCGGCCGAGGCGCCGGCGGCCCCCCCGCGGGAGGGCCCCGAGGAGGGCGGCCTGGCCGCGCTGCTCCGGGCGGCCGCTGCCGGCACGGGGCGGCAGGACGTGGCCGAGCGCGCTCGGCGGCTCGCACAAGTGCCTACAGTCGGGGCGTCGACCTAAGGAGCCCTAAATCATCCGGAGGTAGGAGAGGGGTGTGGTGTAAAGGGGTGTGGTGCCACTTCTGAATCTGGCGGTGTTTTCTATCGCAGGTTACATTGAATTTCCGCGATTGGCATGACACCCCTCTATATGCCACACCCCTATCCGACCTCCAAAAATCAGTCGGAGGTGGATAGACCTCCTGCCCTGACACGTCGATCAAGGAATTGGCCATTTTCGGCTCGCGAGAGGGCGTCGCGGCCGTCATTTTTGCGGGTCCAGGTCCGTCGGTTTCGATCCCAGGCCGTTTTCACGAATGGGAGGTTTACTAAAGGGAGGTTTGTCCACCGCCGAATCAGGAACGAGGCCCTTTTTTCCATAAGTTGATCTTCGGATTCCGACCGAAGACCTTTGTAGGAACACTTCCGTCGAGCTGCAAACCAACCAGGGAACACCGAGCCCCTCCTAAGCGAAAAGGGTTCCTTCTTCGGCGCCCCGACTGTGTACGCAAGTCAGGCCTGTCCTCCTGCAGGGGGACTTTGGGCAGAAAACAATAGTCAACAAATCGCCCAAAAGGGCCAACAACGAATTCACAAAGATCGTCCCCATACTAGTGTTTGTTTGACTATTTTTGAATATTCCTCCTGTAGAGGGACAGGCCCGACTCAAGCCTATACTCGCAAACGTCCGGAGCAAAAGCACACGTCTTTCTCTGTGCAATTGCAGCGGGGGCCCATGCCAAGAGGCACCCTGCCTGTCTCCAGGGTGCCCTAGGTTTCGTGGGCCTTGATGACTTCGCGATGGACAGCGCGACGCCCCCACGCCGAACAAAGAATGCACGTCCTGGGGTCTCAGGGTTGGGTTCCTCGCGGGAGGTTTCTTGTGCTCGGGCCCCTACGGTAATAGAGCGTACATCCCCCGTGGCGGATCCAGGCCATGTGCGAGCAGTTTTAAGTCGGGCCTGTCCCCCTACAGAAGGGAAAATCAAGAATAGTCAAAAATAGTTTGGGGACTATTTTTTGAATTTTTGTTGACAATTCTGGGGCATTTTTTAAATATTTTTATTTTTCGTCGAAGATCCCCCTGTAGGGGGACACGCCCGCCCTAAGAGTAGTTCCTCTGCGAGTCGTGGAGCGCGCCTGTCTAGGAGCGGGCGACGCAGGCATCGGCCGCAGCGGAGACCCCCGTGGAGGACTTGGAAAAAGAGGCCGTGAGGGTCTCGACCACGGGGGCCGATTCCGTTCGCTTTGCTTCGGAGGCCCATCGAAGAACGAAGAACAAAAAAGCCACAAACAGAAACTGTCGGCGATCCGCGCGGATTGCTCGGATCCGCGCTGGCCACCCCCCCCGGCGGCGCCTCCGGCGCCGCCCCTGGCGCACTCCCCCGCGCCAGGGCTGGGGGGTCCAGCGCAGCTCCCAGCAATCCGCGCGGAACGCCAAACATTTGTGTCTTTCTGCGGTGTTCTCTCCTTCTAGGCCCAGCTGGCCTCCACCACGGCGCAGGGCATCCACGATCGGATGGAGTCCGACGCCGTCGCGGTCTCCACCACGGTCGGCGCCTCGGAAGCGGGGGGCCCGAGCACAGTTCGGGTGCAGGGGTGGCGTTGCGGAGCGGGTGCGGGCAGGCGAGCGCCGAAGCAGAGCTACAAGCGTGCGTACAGTCCGAATCTCGGAGGTCCGCGCAGATTGTCTCGGTTCTGCGCTGGACTCCCCAGCGGTGCACCCCCTGAGATCCGACGTTGCGAAGGAGATCGACTGGAGCCCGGGACCCAGTCTTTCAGCTGCCGTTGTCGAGCCGTACTGGTCAAGGGGCCCGAAGTTGGGCGGCAGCGCCCGCTGTGAGGCAAGGGCAACGCCCAGATCTATCGGTCTGGCACGCTCCTCGCGCCCGGAAGGGGGTCCAGCACGCATCCAAGAGATCCGCGCGGGCTTCTGCAGAGCTGTGCCCTTACAGTGTTGTGCTCCTCGCGCGTGGAATTCTCCCTTGGCCTCGCGCGCGGCCGCCCAGCGCCGATACACGCAGCCCACCAGGATCTCCGATCCTCCTCCCCCTCCTACTTCCCCTCCTCCTCCTCCTCCTCCTCCTCCTCCTCCTCCTCCTCCTCTCCTCCTCCCCCTCTCCCTCCTCCTCCTCCTCCTCCTCCTCCTCCCTCCTCCTCCTCTCCTCCTCCTCCTCCTCCCTCCTACCTCCCTCCCTCCTCCTCCCCTCCTCCTCCTCCTCCTCCTCCTCCATCCTCCTCCTCCTCCTCCCCCCTCCTCTCCTCCCTTCTTCTCCTCCTCCTCCTCCTCCTCCTCCTCTTTCCTCCTCCTCCGCCTCTCTCTCTCCCTCTCCCTCTCCTCTTCCTCTCTCCTCCTCCCTCTCCTCCCCCTCCTCCTCCTCCTCCTCCGCTGCCTCCTCCTCCTCCTCCTCCTCCTCCTCCTCCTTCCTCCTCCTCCTCCTCCTCCTCCTCCTCCTCCATCCTCCTCCTGCCCTCCTCCCTCCCCCTCCTCCCTCCTCCCTCCTCCTCCCTCCTCCCCCTTCCCTCCTCCCTCCTCCTCCTCCCTCCTCCCCCTCCTCCTCCCTCCTCCCTCCTTATATGGACTGCCTTAAGCGACCTCCTCTTAGGTTATCCCTATGGATTGAAAGTTCTCGCTCAAGGCCCATACATTATACCTGCTGCTCCTGCTAGCCCCAGAGGTTTGGCGCATTACTCCACGCCCCCCTCAGTGTTCCCCCCGCTCCATCCTCAATCCTCCTCGTCCTCCGCCTCCAACCTCCTCCGCCTCCAACTCCTCTCCTCTCCCCCTCCCTCCTCCCTCCTCGCCCCCCCCCTTTCTGCCTTTCGCATCAATTATCCCCCCGCCTTCCTCTGCTTTGTCCTCGTTCCTGAAGTTCCTGCCGCCCGCCTCCTACCGCATAAGACTGTCCAGTGTTGGACTCCCCCAACTTCCTCCCCCTAGGGACTTAGCCCTCCCTCCTCCTCCTTCCCCTCCTCCTTCTCCTCCTGCCCCTCTCCCCATCGTTATCGTAGATGGGGGCCCCAAGTGAGTGACAGCTACTAAAGTAAGAGACGGAGAAGGAGAGGAGAGCAGAGGAGCAGGAGCAGGAGAGCAGGAGACGGCCCAGGAGAGCAGAGTAGAGGAGCAGGAGAGGAGAGGAGAGCCTAGACAGAAGCCAGAGAAGAAGCACGAGAAAGGAACTACGACGTAGGAACTGGGAAGTAGGGCAAAAGGAAACTAAGGAAACAGGCGAATGAGGAGGAGAGGAGGGGGGAGGATTTTCCACCCCTGGGCCCAAGGCCCAGTCCCCCCAGCTCTCTCTGGGAGCTGGCCCAGCTGGTCCCGCCGCGCCGATGGGCCGATGGCCGGCGCGACGGGCTGGCGCGGCGGCGACGGCGGCGGGCTTAGACGCGCCGCCGCGTGCCCCGAGCCCAGGGCCAGCGTGCGCCCCCGCGCGCTGGCCCTGAAAAGTTGAAACGGGCGGCCCGGCCGGCCGGCAGCCTCGGCGCCTCCGCCTCGGCCTGGCCGGCCTCCGACTCGAGACTCTAGTCTCAGACTACTCTGAGTAGACTACTCCTCTCTCCTCCTCCTCCTCCTCCTCCTCCTCCTCCTCCTCCTCCTCCTCCTCCTCCTCCTCCTCTTCTCCTTCGACTTCGTCTCTCTCTATCTCTCTTTCTCCATCGATGTTTCTTTTTTATCTGAGTTATGCTGAACTTACGCTTCATCTCTCGCCTCTCGCTGCGTTCTCGCTCCATTGTATCACCTCTCTCTCTCTCTCTCTCTCTCTCTCTCTCTATGTCTCTCTGTTCCATCTCTCTCTGTCTCTCTCTCGTTCTCGCTCGCCTCTCTTTCTCTCTCTCTCTCTCTCGCACTCTCGCTCTCTATATGTATTTCTCTCTCTCCCTCTGACTCCGACTCGACTCTCTCCCTCTCTCTCTCTTTCCCTCCCCTCTCCCTATCTCTCTCTCTCTCTCTCTCTCTTCTCTCTGTTTTGCGTTCTCGCGTTATCTGCGCGTCTCTCTCTCTCTCTCATCTCTCTCTCTCTCTCTCTCTCCTCTCTCTCTCTCTCTCTCTCTCTCTCTCTCTCTCTCTCTCTCTCTTTCCCCCTCTCTTTTTTTGTTCTCATCTCTCTCTTCTCTCTCTCATCTCTCTCTCTCTCTCTCTCTCTCGTTATCCATATTTCTCTCTCTCTCTCTCTGACTCTCTCTTTATCTCTCCCTCTCTCTCTCTATTTATTTATCTCTCTCTCTCTCTCTCTCCCTTTTTCCTCGCCCCCCGCTGTCTTTCCTCGACCTTGAGCGGCCCCTCCACATCCGCCTCCTCGTCCCCTCGTCCATCCTCGTCCTGGGCGTCCTCCTTGCCTTTTTTCCTCCTCCTCCTCCTCCTCCTCCTACCCTCCTCCCTCCCCCCTCCTCCTCCTCCTCCTCGTCCTCCTCCTCCTCCTCCTCCTCCTCCTCGTCCTCGCCCTCGTCCTCGTCTTCCTCCTCCTCCTCCCCCTCGTGTTCTCTCCTCCTCTTCATCATCGGACCGCCGCGCTCAGGCGCCAGGCGCGGGGGCCGCCGCCGCGGCCGCGGCCGCCGGGCCTGGGGCCCCCGGGGCGTCGCCAGCGGCAGCGGCAGGCGCGCCGGCGCCGCCGCCGCCAGCCTCGGCCGCCGCGGCCCCGGGGCCCGCTGGGGCCGCGTCCTCTGGGAGGCCCAGGAGGGTAGGACCAGGGAGAGGGAGAGGAAGAGAGGAGGAGGAAAGACTGGGGCAGGGAGGAGAGGAGGAGGGAGCAGCCTCGGAGGAGCCGCTCCTGAGGAGCCTGAGGAAAGGAGAGAGGAGGGGCCAGGCCAGGCCAGGGCAGCAGAGGCAGCAGCAGAGAGCAGTGGGTGGATATCCTTGATGCCGAACTTCGCGGCGTAGGACTCCAGCTCCTTGACGATCTTCTTCCAGGGGATCTTGTCCTTCTTGGCCGTCGCGACCTGGACGAGGTTCTCCACCGCCAGCTTCTCGATGGGGCCAGACTCCGGCTTCGGCGGCGCGTGGATCTGGCAAGCCACGGCGCGCCCGCCCTCGAACTCAGTGCTGTAGATCAGGGCGAACCCACACGGCACATAGAGGATGTCACCCTTGGCGAGGAGCGACCACCTCGAGTTGGCAATCTGCTTGATCTTCTCTGGCCCCATCTCCCCCAGGCTGCCCAGCACGTTAGACAACGACCCCGACTTCTCGCATATGTGGCTCACCTCGACCATCAGCACCAGCATGGAGCCAACCAATGGCGTGACCACCACAGGCATGCCAATCATCCCAGTGGCGTCGTACTGGCAACGGCACGAAAACTGACCGACGCCTATCAGCCAAGGAGTCTGCATGGTGCCGATGTCCTGCACGAAGGACTTCTCGAAAGCGTCGGCATACCACGACTCGTAGCCACAACCCGTCAACGTGGTCATCATCATGTTGCCGTTGCCTCCGCGCGACTGCAGGGCAGCGACCATCGTCTGGGCCTTGTCGTCGAGCTTGTAGTCTTTGTCCGCCAAGAACCGCACGACGTTCTCGCCGAATTCGCACTCTGGGTCCACCAAAGCCGGCTCCGAGCCAGCGATGTCCTACCAAAATGGCAGGGGGGGCCGCGGGCCCAGGGGAGGAAGAGGAGGAGGGGGAGGAGGGGGAGGAGGAGGAGGACTAGGAGGAGGAGGAAAAGGAGGAGTAGGAGGAGGAGGAGGAGGAGGCTGAGGAGGAGGAGGAGGAGGAGGAGGAGCAGCAGGAGCAGGGGCAGGCAGGCAGCAGGAGGAGGAGGAGGCTCGGAGGAGGGGGGGGACTAGTACCGGGACTAGCTGGAGGCTCGGAGGAGGAGGACAAGGATAATTAGAAGGAGGATGAGGATGAGGAAGAGGAGGAGGAGGAGGACGAGGAGGAGGAGGAGAAGGAGGAGGAGGAGGAGGAGGAGAAGAGACAGAGACAGAGAGAGAGAGAGATAAAAGTAGAAGAAAGAAAAAACACTAAACAAGTAAGAAGAAGAAAACAGAAAGCGAGCGGCGGCAATCCTGCACAACGGCCAGTGACTTCTCGGACTCCTTCGCCTTCGCGAAGGCGTCGTCGAGGGCGGCGGCCAAGCCGGGAGAGACGCCTTTGTCCAGGAACCGCTGCAGCGCCTTCTTGGCGTGGTACCTGCGGGCACTGCGGGCGGAAGCCGGACCGGCCGGAGCAGAGGAGGCAGATGAGGGAAGGAGGCGACGAGGGAGAGGAGGGCGAAGGAGGAGGGGGAGGAGGAGGACAAGGAGGAGGAGGAGCAGGAGCAGGAGCAGGAGCAGGAGGAGGAGGAGGAGGAGGACGAAGAGAGGAAGGAGGACCTCAGCCCTCAGGGGGGGGGTGAGGGAAGAAGCAAGGCGCCTTGTCTTGGCGGCCAGGCTCTTCGCGTCCTTTTTCGCGGCCGCCTCCGCGGCCCTGACCTTCTCGATGCCCCGGGAGAGCGAGGACACCACGTGGCCCATCTCCTCGAGCAGGCTCTCAACCTCCCGTCCCCCCGAACTGTTGCCCGGACCCAGACCCACGGCAGCAGTGTCGACTCGGGCCGGGCCGAAAGCGGG